AAAGACATTATGCTAAACATAACGGAAACCTAACGTATAACTTCAAACATAAATATAACAAAAGGCATTATGCTAAACATAACGGAAACCTAACGTATAACGTCAAACATAAAGAAAACAAAAGACATTATGCTAAACATAACGGAAACCCAACGTATAATGCCAAACGTAAAGAAAACAAAAGGCATTATGCTAAACATAACGGAAACCTAACGTATAACGTCAAACATAAAGAAAACAAAAGACATTATGCTAAACATAACGGAAACCTAACGTATAATGTCAAACATAAAGAAAACGAAAGACATTATGCTAAACATAACGGAAACCCAACGTATAATGTCAAATTTAAAGAAAACAAAAGACATTATGCTAAACATAACGGAAACCCAACGTATAATGTCAAACATAAAGAAAACAAAAGACATTATTCTAAACATAACGGAAACCTAACATATAACGTCAAACATAAAGAAAACAAAAGACATTATGCTAAACATAACGGAAACCCAACGTATAATGTCAAACATAAAGAAAACAAAAGACATTATGCTAAACATAACGGAAACCCAACGTATAATGTCAAACATAAAGAAAACAAAAGACATTATGCAAACATAACGGACATTAACCAACGTATAAGTCAAACATAAAGATAAACAAAGACATTATGCTAAACTAACGGAAACCAACGTATAACGTCAACATAAAAGAACAAAAGACATTATGCTAAACATAACGAAACCCAACAGTATAATGTCAAACATAAAGAAAAACAAGACATTATGCACAAACATAACGGATTAAACCCAACGGTCATATATGTCAAATATAAAGAACAAAAGACGTTATGCTTAAACATAAACGGAAACCCAACGTATAATGTCAAACATAAGAAACAAAGCATTATGCTAAAACATACGGAAAAACGTATAAGTCAACATAAATAACAAAGAGCATCATGCTAAACATAAACGGAATCCTAACGTATATTTAAACACTGTGAACTAAAGAAAAAACAAGAACATTATGCTAAACCATACCGGAAATCCCAACTGTTAAGTTTTCAACGTAAGAAAACAAAAGGCATATGCCTCTAGAACATAACGAGGAAACTAACGATATACATGTCAAACATAAGGAAAACAAAGATTATGGCTAAACATAACGGAAACCCAACGTTATAACTGTCAACATTAAAAGAAAACAAAAGACATTATGCTAAAACATAGCGGATAACACCACGAATAATTCAAACATAAGTCATAGAACAAAAAGCATATTCTAACCATACGGATACCAACGCATATAACTTCAAATCATAAAGAAAACAAAAAGACATATGTAATAACAGTAAACGGAAAACGCCAAATACGTTATCAATGCCAAACGTAGGTGATGGAGTAGCGCTGAAAAGCATGTGTGTATGACGTAACATAACTCCGAGAAACCTAAGAGTGTCTGTAGTATAACGATCGAACATAAAAGAAAACAAATAACCATATGTATGTGTGCTAACACTAACGGCAGATAACCTAACCGTATAAGTTGGTTTCAAACATAAGTAGAGAGTAAAAACAACAAGACGATGATCTCACATAGACCGCGACCCATTAATGCGCTGTGATGTCAGCGTGGGACTATATCAACGAAATCAAATTCACATAACTGCTCTCATCTAGATCACGCAATCTAACCTCTTTAAAATCCGCAATCAAAAGCAAAGTATAGCATCAGAACATTCATACACTGCTAAACAGTGAATTGCCCGGCCAAAACCCAGTACCATATCAAACCATAAAAAAACAAAAAAGAGATTATTCTATAAATCAAATAACCCCGGAAAAGCACCAACATTATAACGTCAAACATAACCAAGAAAACAAAAGAATTTTTTTTGCTAATCGATAATACGAAAATCTCTGCGCAATCGGTATAAATTTTCAACATAAAGAAAACAAAAGTACACTTATGCTTAAACATAACCGGAAAACACTCATCTATTCGAACTATAATGTCAAATAAAGTGCAACCACCTATCATAACTAGCCACATTTATGCGTTATCAACATAACGGGAAACCCCACGTAATAATGTCATAACATAAAGAAATCTCTCTC